GCTGGTTGGAGTTGGTTGGGTGCTGTGTGAAAAAAAGGGGTTGTGCTGGTTGGAGTTGGGGGTTCCCATATTAGAGACGCTTTTGTTTGCTTGTTTTGTGTTGGGTGCTGTGTGAAAAAAGGGGTTGTGCTCGTTGGAGTTGGGGGTTCCCATATTAGAGATACGCTTTTGTTTGCTTGTTTTGAGTTGGGTGCTGTGTGACAAAGGGGGTTGTGCTGGTTGGAGTTGGGGGTTCCCATATTAGAGATACGCTTTTGTTTGCTTGTTTGAGTTGGGTGCTGTGTGAAAAAGGGGTTGTGCTGGTTGGAGTTGGGTGTTCCCATATTAGAGATAGTGCTGTGTGACAAAGGGGGTTGTGCTGGTTGGAGTTGTTGGTTCCCATATTAGAGATACGCTTTTGTTTGCTTGTTTTGAGTTGGGTGCTGCGTGACAAAGGGGGTTGTGCTGGTTGGAGTTTGTGGTTCCCATATTAGAGATACGCTTTTGTTTGTTTGATTTGCAGTTGGGTTCTGTGTGACAAAGGGGGTTGTGCTGGTTGGAGTTGGGGGTTCCCATATTAGAGATACGCCTTTGTTTGCTTGTTTTGAGTTGGGTGCTGTGCGACAAAGGGGGTTGTGCTGGTTGGAGTTGGGGGGTTCCCAGATTAGAGACACGCTTTTGTTTGCTTGTTTTGTGTTGGGTGCTGTGTGAAAAAAGGGGTTGTGCTCGTTGGAGTTGGGGGTTCCCATATTAGAGATACGCTTTTGTTTGCTTGTTTTGAGTTGGGTGCTGTGTGACAAAGGGGGTTGTGCTGGTTGGAGTTGGGGGTTCCCATATTAGAGATACGCTTTTGTTTGCTTGTTTTGAGTTGGGTGCTGTCTGAAAAAAGAGGTTGTGCTGGTTGGAGTTGGGGGTTCCCATATTAGAGTTGGGTGCTGTGTGAAAAAGGGGTTGTGCTGGTTGGAGTTGGGGGTTCCCATATTAGAGATACGCTTTTGTTTGCTTGTTTTGAGTTGGGTGCTGTGTGAAAAAAAGGGGTTGTGCTGGTTGGAGTTGGGTGTTCCCATATTAGAGATACGCTTTTGTTTGCTTGTTTTGAGTTGGGTGCTGTGTGACAAAGGGGGGTGTGCTGGTTGGAGTTGGGTGTTCCCATATTAGAGTTGGGTGCTGTGTGAAAAAGGGGTTGTGCTGGTTGGAGTTGGGGGTTTTCATATTAGAGATACGCTTTTGTTTGCTTGTTTTGAGTTGGGTGCGGTGTGACAAAGGCGGTTGTGCTGGTTGGAGTTGGGTCTTCCCATATTAGAGATTGTTTGCTTGTTTTGTGTTGGGTGCTGTGTGACAAAGGGGGTTGTGCTGGTTGGAGTTGGGTGTTCCCATATTAGAGATACGGTTTTGTTTGCTTGTTTGAGTTGGGTGCTGCGTGACGAAGGGGGTTGTGCTGGTTGGAGTCGGGGGGCTCCCATATTAGAGACACGCTTTTGTTTGCTTGATTTGCAGTTGGGTGCTGTGTGCCAAAGGGGGTTGTGCTGGTTGGAGTTGGGGGTTCCCATATTAGAGATACGCCTTTGTTTGCTTGTTTTGAGTTGGGTGCTGTGCGACAAAGGGGGTTGTGCTGGTTGGAGTTGGGGGGTTCCCAGATTAGAGACACGCTTTTGTTTGCTTGTTTTGAGTTGGGTGCTGTGTGAAAAAGGGGTTCTGCTGGTTTTGGGACTTGGGTGTTCCCATATAAGAGACACGCCCATGTGCGAAGCTCGTTTCGGTGGCTCCATACATGTTGGGGAGACACACACCAAAATTGGTTCAACGATGTGAGCAGCGAACGAAAAGAAACGCGGCTGGTCGCGCTGTCTGATCCAGACAGGTGCAGGGTCACTCGACCCGCCTGCACTTCGCGAGGCCTCCTGAGGGACCGGACCTTGGAGCGCCAGTTCTGCCTGGGCGCTGCCACGCGACACCTGCTGCCGGCACTCAGGCGTGATGTTTGGTGTGCGCGGCTTTTTCGGGAGGTCCTTTTTCGGCGCTTTGGCGAGGCTTGCATTTGTTGGGGCTGTTGTAAAGGGAAGCCCGAAGCAAGCCAGAACATCCCAGCTCCTTATGGAAGGGGGATGATGATGGAATGTATGGAGGATGAGCCTATAGTCGTTATTTTGGTGGGGAGATAGACGCCCCAGTGATTGTTTCAGCTAGCGTCCGGGAGAACGGCCCGACAGGTTCTGCACGCTTTCTTGCGTTTTTGTCGCATTGTGTTGGGTTGCGGGGTGGATTTCAAACCCGCTGTACCTGCATGCATGCTCGCAGGCGTCGGCTCAAGCTCGCGGAAGGGACGTTGTTGATTTGCGCATAGTAGTTTGATTTCTTTTAGGTGGTTGTTGCCAAGCACGTTTACTTGCAAACCGTGCACACGAATTCCCTCGCGGAAGCTACCTTCCTCAGTTTGAAGAAGCAACTTGCCTGCGAAGGCGCAGGGAAGCACACTTATATAAATTTATAGAAACATATTCGCGGAAGGTACCCTTCACACCGCGGAAGCTTCGCGGAAGGTTTTTCGGAAGGGTTTGATTCGTCAATGCAAATTTGAAGGGACTAAATATCACCACTCAGGTGCAATTCGGACGCGTTGCGGGGCATATGCCCTGGGGCGCCGGCAGCGGCGCCTTCCGCGTGCTGGCGGATTCCTGGATGCGTTGCCAGGGTCAATCAGCGTGTAAGCACGCATTGCAGAGTGGTTCGTGTAGAACCTGTTGAGCTGGCAAGAGCGGACATGAGCTGCAGGGTACTTGCTATTCCAGCGCATGTCCTTGAATGTAATCTCTTGTCTTGACAAAAGAACAGATGCTGGCAGAGTGTTGGTAGCATGCTAGACGCGCCGGGTATGTTCACACGAACATGCGTAGTGCATCCCTTGAAAGTCTAGAAAAGCTGGTCATGTCGGCGACGGCTTCCCAGAAGCATCGCGAGGGCTTTGGAATGGAGCTTGCTTTGCTATGACCTGGAACGCGTGCGGGGCGGGTAGGCCCATTTGTGTTGCCTTGCATTTTGCGCCGTGCTGGCAGTCAAATACACGTGCTCGTGCGCGGCCCTGCGCAGTTGCCGGAGCGCAGTACTAGCGCTGACTGCAGGCATTCGCAGCCTGGCCCTACATGGTGGGTGGAGCTTGAACGCTTTCGGGTGCCTGGCCCGAGGCTTTCATGATGGCCGGCGCAGAGAAACAGCGAGCGCGGTGCAATCTTTTTTCCTCACTCCTTCCAGCGATTTTTGGGTCATTGGCCACATCTTTTTGGGGAGCTTTCATGAGACTGAGTGTAGCTTGAAGAAGTGTGTTATTTTCGGATGGAAAGATTGGAGCGCTCGCGTGCGCTGGGTGCACCAGACGGGCACGGGCGCGTTGAGCGGGGAGTATGGCTGGGCACGGCTTTGTGTGTGCGGCTGGGTGCTGCGCAAGCGCGCGAAGATGGAAAGGTCTTAGGACCAGTCCCAGGAATCCACGCTTTGTGCAGGAAAGCGGGCGAGACAACATCAAGTTGCTTCTGCCTAGATCCCCAGTTGCCTTTATTTTCCAGCTACTTTGACCAAATTATGGGCTACCAGTGGGTAAAGCGGCTGGAAAAAAGTGGCTACTTGGGGTGCCAGGTGCTTGAAACACCTTGTCATCGGCCCACTTTCTTCACACCGGTCCCGTGATCCTCGAGCCTTGCCAGGCTCGAGCCGTGCTGCCGCAGCCACCCAGCGGCAAAAAAGCCGCGGCCAAAACGCCGGCGCTTTGTGCTCCGCAGGTTCGCGTGGTTTGGTGCCCCAAAAAATATGGCTGTGGGTCAAAACCAATGGGATCCCATTTTGGGGTAGGTGCACCACCGATTTTACTCTATTTTAGTTGGGATTGGGATGTTCACTAGGGGTACGATTTGGATTTTGACCCATGGCCATATCCGAACCACATGGGAAGCTGAGGCTCATGCGGGGCTCACTTAACTTGGGGACTGCTCCGAAGCGCATGGTTTGTTGGCGAAGACGTCGTCCCGCGACATTTCAGGAGGGTCCAGGGCAAAGAGAATGCTGCAATCATATTGCATACATACGTATATAGACATGACATACACGCTATACAATCACATGTATTTGTATATGTATGCAAATATTTGTTCACTTCAATATTCTTTTAGCGAGCATCCCAACACAACAGAGCCGAGCTGTTAGTCTCACCAGGCTTGCTTCAAAAAGCGGCAGGCAAAAGCTCACAGTCGGCGTTCTGGTCTGGAAGCAGGCAGCGGATGCTTTTTGGAGCAAACAAAAGACTGCGCTTGGAGTCAACTTGGGCCGCTTACTTCAACTGGCGTCCACTGCAATGGTTGGAGTGGGCCGAGGTTGCGAGGACGGACACTCTCTGCACATCAGACGTGCCACGGTGCACGTGATGGCCTAGAAGCCCGAGGGAAGCTCAAGCCACCTAGCCGGAAGTGTTCATCACCATTGTGAAGACCATGACCCACGACTTTGGTATTTTTTGTATATACCATTTCCCTAAAAGCACCCATGCCCCCAGAGCTGTTTAAACACACATGTGCGCGTTTCTGTCTCTTTGTGTGAGAGTGTGCGTCAATGTCTGGGTCTATGTTTGTGTCTGTGTCTGTTTCTGCGTCTATGTGACTCTGTGTTTGTGCTGTGCGGTGTTTGTTTCTTTTTTTTTCTTTTTTTCTTTCTTTCTTTCTTTCTTTCTTCCTTCTTCCTTTCTTCCTTTCTTCCTTTCTTCCTTTCTTCCTTTCTTCCTTTCTTCCTTTCTTCCTTTCTTCCTTTCCTCCTTTCCTTCTTTCCTTATTTCCTTCTTTCCTTCTTCCTTTCCTTCTTTCCTTCTTTCTTTGTTTGGTTGTTTGTTTGTTTGTGTGTGTGTGTGCGTGTGCGCGTCTTTGTGCGTCTCTCTGTCTCTCTCTCTCTCTGCGCTGTTTGTGCGGGCATTGCCTTTTTAGCCCGACTTCCAGCACAGGAGGGAAGCCGATGTCGGCGGGGTGTGCAGCTGCTGGCTGCTTTGCTGCTGGCGGCAGTGGCGCACTTTAGTCAGGTTTGGCGGGGTCCGACGAGCGTACTCCTACTCACTGCCTGAGTGTATGGACTTACTGCTTTCTGGGAAGACCATAAAGTTCAGACTTTGATGGCCGCTCCATGTCTTACACAATGAGTTCAGTATTTTAAGTACGGAGTTAAAATTCAAATAAGGATGCTTAATCAATATTCAGAGATCATGAAGCCTATCATGATGAAAGTTGTTTTGAAGTATCCCGCAACCCTCATTCTAGTTTTGGGCCTTTCGCTGGACTGACCCTGTGTGTTCCAAGGACTTTGCTTTTGCGAGAGGCGGCGTTTCGCGCGCGCGCGCCTCTGGTGCACATCACCTGTACTCCTTTTTCGGGTGATTGATACATCACCTCTTGGTTGCTATGAACTAAGTTTCCGTTTGGGGGTAATCAAGGCTGTGTTTGGCGGAAATATGTTCGGAACGTTGAAAACGGTTAGAAGGTCATTGTCCCAAAGTGGGCCCCCTTTGTCCGTCCCTTGCTGGGTTTTGAAGATCATGTGAATGTATCTTCTGCGATGATTCAAGGCAGGTAAGGAACGCTACAGTTGTGGAACAGGGTTTGGGTTGAAAATTTTGTGTACCACGCGGATCCCTCTAAATTGGTGAAGTGGAGACAGTTGGACGGAATCAGCCACTTCGGTATGGTGATTTTCCAGACTGCACCAGGGCTTTGCCTAAAATGAGGAGCCCCCTTCTTTGGATGTCGGAAAACTAGGGGAGCCCGACGTATGAGCGTCATGTTCCGGCCAAGCTTGCGGCTCGACAATTGCCCACTCCAGGTGGTTGATTCTCAATGGCATAAGTCCGTAGTCCGGAAGGTCGACGGATGAACCCTGGATGAAAATACCAAGGAATCAACCGGACCTTGATCATCCTGGGTTGCTACATTTGGCTTTGTCTCAAAATGGTGGACCCCACTTCGGGTGCGTGGCTTCCTGTGAGTTGTCGTTTGTCACCGAAAAAACGGAGCCCTCAAAATGGAGACCCCACTAAATCACCCAACTGCCAAACCACCAATCACCAAACCACCAATTCGCCAATTCACCAAACCACCAACCCACCAAACCACCAAACCGCCAAACTACCAAGCCACCAAGCCACGAAGTCGCCAATCCACCAAGTCGCGAATTCACCGAACCACACCAAACCACCAAACCACCAAACCACCAAACCACCAAACCACCAAACCACCAAACCACCAAACCACCAAACCACCAAACCACCAAACCGCCAAACCACCAAACCACCAAACCACCAAACCACCAAACCGCCAAACCGCCAAACCACCAAACCACCAAACCACCAAACCACCAACAAACAACCAAGCCACGAAGTCACCGAACCACCACTTCGTCAATGCACCAAACCGCCGCGCCACCAAACCACCAATCTACCAAATCACCAAACCACCAAGTCGCCAATTCACCATCGCGCCACCAAACCACCAAACCACCAAGCCACCAAGTTAGCAACCACCAAACCACAAAGTCACCAAACCACCACTTCGCCAATTCACCAACCCACCAACCCACCAAACCAACCAGTGCAAGCTGAACGCATCGCTCCGACCAGGCCTGGGGCTTCGCACTGGCGGGGTCCCGGCGATCCGAGGATGGCTCGCCCAAGGCGCGTTGCGGTCGTAGGCCCTCACTGTCCCCTCCGCTAGCATGGAACCTGACTGAGGGGTGGAAGATAATGTTCCTTTAAAAGTGAGTCGGTGGGTTCCGTCTTGGTAGGGACTGTGAAAAGAACCTTTCTGGTGAATATGGTTTTTTCCAGTGGCAAGGAATACCAGGAGGCTTGCCGAATCAATTTGGTACGCGTGCTCAAAAACCCTGGGGCCCTCGTTGGCAAAATGAATTGAGAGACTTGCCTTCGGCTTCGGATTGCCCATCTCACATTCCGTAGCTTCAGGCAGAGTCATGTGCCGCCTCTAAAATCATGGCCTCGGGCACAGGTCAGCTTGGTAGCAGTCAAGACTTCTTCCGCTTGTCTTCTTGTTAATGCTAAGAATCGTGGTGCTGTTCTCAGCTGATGCAGACAGACACTAGCTGATGACATGTCAGACCTTGCGTTCCTGCCAGCACGTCTTTCCCACTACTGACATGTTCAGATCCTGAGCCCTGTTTCAACCCTCCTTCTCAAAAGATGTCTTTAGCAGGGCCTGCTCTCTCGCACAGTCCATTTGCCAGCATGAAGCCGAACATGTTGAGCCCAACTTGCAGCCAAATGCTGCTGAACACTTGGGTGTGAGGACCCGAACCGGTGGATAGGATTTAGGTGGGGGTCATGTCCAAACAAACAAGCAAACAAGCAAACAAACAAACAAAAACAAACAAACAAACAAACAAACAAACAAACAAACAAACAAACAAACCAACAAACAAACAAACAAACAAGCAAGGAAGCAAGCAAGCAAGCAAGCAAGCAAGCAAGCAAACAAACAAACAAACAAACCGGTGGATGTGATTTGGGGATCATGTTCGAACAAAACACTGTTGAGGTGGTTGTTTCCTAAGATTCCTGGCCATGGTCGTTTGTCGCTTATTCCCAAACTCGCGGCCAGACTGTGCGAGCTGCTGAAGGCATCCTTGTGGCAGACCGCGAGTCCTGCGCTCAGGATGCTGTGTTGGCCGGCTCGTGTTTTCTATACTTTTGGGAGTTTCTGAAATCAAAAGGAAACAAAGCATCTCAGGAAAGCGATTCCTAATTTGTATGTTTCACCTGCATAACGAGACACTCCGTCAAACTTGGCCAAAAAGGATGATGTTAAACCCCGCCGAGAAAGGGACATATTGGTATCCCTGAATGGGAGTAAGCTTTCAATTCCGACTCCGGCATTCCACGCCAACTTTGGCATTCGGACAGGCGCAGGCAGAGCAAGGACAAGGCGCGAGCATGGCAAGCGAGAAGTTGTGCAATGAACGGCGAGTAGATGAAGTCGTCTATTTTTTTGTTTCGACCCAAACCCTGTTTCATTGAAGGAGGAGCCCCACATCTACCCTTTCTCCCTCTTTCTTACATCAAGCATTTCATGTATTGCGCGAAAAGGCTGACGTACTGTGGACGGACCAAATCCTGCACCCAAGAAACCTTATGATTCGATTCCTCCTTTTCATACCAACTAAATTGTAAAATGGATTTCATTCCATACCATGGTTTCATTTCTTTTTCAAACCACGGTTTCAATGTATAATGAAAATTCCTCCTTCATGGCTTCATGTCGTGCGAAATCGGATTTCGTCAATGGAAGGCCGGTGCCATTCAGCCGCTGTCCTGGCTCCAGAAGCCCAAGCCCCCCACGCGCCTCGCCAAGATCTGGGTGGAAGTTGTTGGGGTTTTGAAAACGAACCGCTTTGGGATTCCTGCAAATAGGTATGGGTCAAAGCTAAGCCACCAGGGGACCGGAGGTTTTAGTCCATGTTTCCATTTACCAGGGTTTCATTTTGGGTACATATTTTGGCCCACAGCCAAATGAAGGAAAGGGGATGGTTCATAGGGTGATTGCAACTCATTCCCTGAACGCCTTTGTCAGGGTTTCCAAGCCAGTTCCCTTTCAAGGGAATCCAAAAGTGGAAACCGATCGTTTCAATGAACACTGCCGGTAAATTGCAACTCTAGGGGGAAATCCAGTGACCCCTTCGTAGTGTTCGAAACTCGATCCATGTGCAAATCATTTGACTCAGATGTGGCAACATGGTGCGAGTGTCTCAACCTCAATGATGGCTTCTTGCGGCCTTTCAATGGCCATGCCAACCTTAAAGACCGTGTTTCGACGGCGCATGCAAAGTGGTTGCCCTGAGAGATGTGGCGCCCTTTTGGCCTCCGAGACGGCGAATGTGGTGATGTTAAGTGCGGCTTCTGGCTGGTTAATTGGTTAGTCGGATGGTCGCTCGGTCGGTTGGTTGGTGGCTTGGTTGGTTGTTTTTTTTTTTGGGTAGCTCCTTGCTTGCTCAAGAGCCGAGCTGAAAGATACATTTTCCAACGCCAGGTGGACCACTTTTTGGGTTTCGTTTTGCGGTCCTTTCAGTTCCATCCCGATCGGGTCTTGGAGCACCCCACGGGAACTCGCCTGGGATGGAAATCAGCCACTTTGGTATCGCAGCAAGGCTTACCCCAACAAGCATGTAAGTGGTCGTCAGGATGTTGGATGACTACCATCCTCTAAAAACCGGCACACGTGTTTACATCCTTGAGAAGGCTTCTCCAATGATGGACCCCAGAAACAAGCCGATTCCATTCTGAGAAATGCCCATGACTCTTGAAAAAAGGGTACTTCCGCAACCAGGACAAGTACCATGAAAAAGGTGGCATCTCCCAAAATGAAAACAAGGGCCCCATTTTTGAGTTTGCCCCATAGAACAGTCCAGACTTCAGATGCTTTCCACTCCCAAAGTAGCCCCAAACCACAGGTGACCCCGTGAACCATGGGTCCGCTTGTAGCTCCCGTTCGGTGTGGAACTTCTACCGGGGCGAGCGAGCGAAAGCCCAGGCTGCCGGCGGATTTGTTCAAGCCCAAGGAGAGCTTGTCCCAGACCTTCCTCGCGGACCCGCGCCTCCGGTGCGAAATGGACAAAGCCCGGGGGAAGTTTCAAGCAAGACATGCAGGGGTTAATTAAGGGTCCAAAACATTGGGGCCTTAAAGTCCCCACTCAGCGCCCCAAACCCTTGGGACTTATTAGGTCCATGAAGGGTTACAAAATTGCGGGCTCGAAACACCCGAAGCCCCAAACCCTGGGGACTTTCTTTGTCCATGTATCCCGTTTGTTTTCCTTTTTCCCCGAACGCCAACTATTGAAGCCTATACGCCAAAGGCCTGTCTTAGAGTGGACGATCGGGGACCGCTTTAGGTGTTGCTAGGGACGGTTTCGTTCCACGGCAATGGTTTCCTTCAAGCAGCCATGACCATAGCCTGCAGATTCAGAGTTTTCACCATAGAGGGGTGTGACTCCCTTGTTCCCCCGACAGGAAAAAGGGTTATCACGAGCTTTCCTCACAAGCCGCAACGTTTTTGCGCTGTCCACTTCGAAGGTTTCTTTGTTGAACAGCAAGCACAAAAGGGTTCTGTGTCTTTACGACCATCTGTCCACCATACTGAAATTGTATCATTATTACTATTATTGTTCAATTCAACCAAACCTCGTTCTGTTGTTATCAACTATATTCTGGATATGGTTGCATGTTGATTTGCAGCAGTTTCACAATCTGCGTTTAAACTTGCTGTGCTGTTAATATCCAATTATTCAACATTGCCGACCAATGTATGCATATTTTTTTTATGTATGCATACACATAGTTCAGATGTACAATTGTTCACTTGTGTTGATCACATTCCCCAACTGATAGCAGTTCTATAATACAATTGACAATCAATATACAAGTGCACTGATTCAGCTCTTACAGCGAATTATTATTCCAGTTGATTCGAAAGCTATCCATTCAACGAGACCAATGAATGTATTGCTTATTTTTGCTTTGTAATGGACTGAATGAATGGAGTTGTTGATTATCTTTATAAAGATGTCGAATGCAATCTCTCGACTCACATCCTAAATGTTGAACATTGTCTTTTGTTTCAACTAGCAGGTGCCGCTGTGCTTGTTGGAGTGGACATAGAGGTGATATGTGCAGAAACATCCCAAACAATGCTAACCAAGGAAAAGGTGTGGCTGCCCTCGAAAAATGGAACGCGACAGCCTGACCTGACACCTGAGATTCCAGTGTTTGTTAAGGGACAGCTCTATCGTTTTCAAGCAACACCGTGGATGGAGAACATCCTGCACCAATTGGGACGGATGACGCCTACGCAAACTGGTACAAGCAATTGGTGCCTAGCGCTGGTTTTGTCAGGATGGGCTAGCGGCCAACAAGTTAGCAGTCGTTCGGTGCTGGCAGCTGTCAAATGATCTGGGAGTCTTTCCACACCTTCTCAGCCGTGATTCTTGGAGGGTATCTGACAGAATGATGTGCCTCCAGCATAGAGGCTCTTTTTCGCGCCTTTTTTTGTCAGGGGTCTGACTATTTTATGACGGGCTCACCTGGGGATCAAACTCAAAACGAGCTTCACAAGATGAGGGTTCCTTAGTTCGGGATGCTTGTTTCAGGTTTTGGACTTGTTTCGTGATATTCGCAGTCGGGTTTGGAAAATCCATTTTCTTTCAATTTTCCTTTGAAATGCGTTGCAAGGCGGCACTAGGTTTTTTAAATGGGGCGGCACGTTTGACAAAACCCTGCTGGGTGAGCAGTTTTGTAGGTAGTTCCGTGCCAAGGAACTACATCTTCAAATGCGGCGCGCTCCGCCACGCTTACGGCTTGGGCCACGTTGACACTGGGCGAGCTGCCTGCTTTTTGGAAGTTCCCGAGGTTGTTTTGGGGGTAGCTATGTAGGAAACATCACGGGATTCCATCTTTTTTAAGTTGTTTAAAGGGCAACCACGGGCACCCAAAGCCCCAAGAGAAGTTGTCACCCTTGGAGACACTTGGAAAGCCAAACCGGCCCTGTTTCTGGCACCACGACGCCTGAGCTGCATGTAGCGGGTCAGGGGGTTCTTTTCCAAAGGTCCAAAGGGGGACGGGTGGCAGCCCAAGTAGCTAGTCAATGGACACCCCACTGTTCAGGCCCTAGGTGCCCCAACTTCCTTGGCTAACACCTGGGTATGGGTCAAACTTAGACGAAACCGCGGGTTTGAGTCCAAGGCTCCAGCGTTGCATTTGGGGTACTTATTTTTGACCCGCAGCCACCTGACACGCCACAAAGAGGTCCAACCGGTCGGTTTCTGGTCGCTTGCAAGTCACCGCGCTGGACGACGAGTCGGAGGCCGGCAAGAGAGTGATCGAGCTTGGGCGCGGCGCTCAGCGAGCGACCAATGGCCTAAGGCAGATGGAAATCAGATGGGTACGTCACGAAAACCTGAGACGCCGAAGCCAAAAGAACGCCTCCCCGTCTCTCGAACAAGGGGCGAGAAGGGCAAGGCGTTCCGACAAGGAGTTTGCAACTTTGACGGGAATGACCTTTGGGTGTTGGGAGTGAACCGGAAGGGGGATTCTGTTAAAGGAAACCTTACGGGATGGTTTAGTTGTAGGGATGATTCCCTCATTCCCTGCTGAGAACCATCAAGAAAAGTGGATTCCTTTCTATGGGGGTTTCTAAGTTCCTTGGTGGTCAGCCTGTGAACAATCCACTTGGTGGCGTTTACGGGAATCCACTTATTGAACCAGCAAGATGTGAGGATCCCTCAGTTCCTTCTGAGGTAATCCCCCAAGCTCCACGCCACCCGGTTCATCTCGTTTCAGAATCCAGGGTCTTGGGTGGTGCCTGAGAGGATTTCGTCCATCCACAGCATGTTGGCCCCCGCTTGGGAAGCACCGGAGGCCAGGCACCGGCGCCATTACGTCTCGGCTCTGGCAGCGCTACCCCGAGGCGAGTGAAGGAGTGGGGGGAAAGGACGCGGAAAGGACGTCGTCGCTTTCACCCCCCTCCTAAACCCCCCAAAATGGCTGTGGCTCAGAAACATGTACCAAAATGGCACCTTGGTGAATGGAAACAAACACGACAGCCTGCGCAACCCTGGCTCTTCAATTTTGAGCCACACCCAAATCCGACCCTGATTTGGAGTGCACAGAGGAAACCCATTGACTTTTGGTTCCAGCAACATGGCTATCAAGGTTTATGCGCGCTGTGCACTCCACAAAATCACCTATGTAGTCGAGCAAGCTGGTAGAATGTCTTTGGGAAGCCAGCTGAGTGGTCAGATGATTGGCGTCGAGATCGACCAGCGCGCCATGCGGGTGCTGTCAAACACCGTGCCCGGCGCGACGGCGCGGGGCCCCGGGGGCCCGCAGGCTTCGGCCGGGAGGCGACTTTTTTTTGCAGAAGCGGAAGGCATTGGCTTCAACCCAATGTTGTTGCTAACGTTTGAAAGAGAAGCCCAATGTCGCAAAAGTTCGGGTTGAATGGTTTTCAGGGCTGTCCTGGGCAGGAGCTGACCTTGCCATGTTTTTGACATGCAGCCCCCTTGTCCAGACAGTATCCCCTCTGTCGAGCACCAAGCGAGATTCCAAAGGGGATTAGTTAGATCCCCTGGCAGAGTGAGCCCAGGGGTCTTCGAGCTTGAGTAGTCGTTTTGTTTTTTGCGGTTCCGGGTTGGTCTGACAAGTGACTATGTCTATCAGATTCAGTACTGACATAGCAGCGAGTGGAATCAACGGACACTCCATGGACTGGGGAATGCAATTACGCCGTGTGAGGGGAGTCTTGACCTCTGCGGGTCTCCGCATCCGAGCCTCTGAGTCTCGACCAGCCGGTTTTGGGTTGCACGTATATGGATGATTAACAACAATTTGTTGCCCCACCCTTGGAAGAAATCAGCAGGGCTCTTTGCATCCTTATCACTTGAGCTTTGATGCACTTGGCTCGTTTCCGAGGTCTTTCAAGGGGACTTCACAGGTGAAATGGAAGCAGAGTTGGGCTTGGAGTATGAAGCGTCTTCTTGTCGCTGGGCTGGGGCTGTCTTGTTTCCATCTTTGGTTTTTCTTTCTTCCTTGATTTCCTTTTTTTTCTTCTTTCCTTTGTGTCCGTCCCTTTCCTTTCTTCTTTCCCTCCTATTTTTTTTGGTATTTGTCCACATTCTTTCTTTTTTCTGCCCTTTGGCTCTCTTGTTTCGCCGTCTCACCCGACTCTCTATCTCTCTCTCTCTCTCTCTCTGGGTATGGGTCAACATTATACAGCGGGGCACCGCAGGCTTTACTCCTTGTTTCCGTTTTCCGGGGATCCGTGTTGGGTATCTAATTCTGACCCACAGCCCTCTCTCTCCTTTCCCCCGTGTCTTTCTCCTCTGGCGGTACTGTGGATGGACGAAATCCTGCACCACCTAAGAAACCCTGGAGTGAAACGATTCCCCTGCAAATACCAACAAACAAGGGTTTCAAACATGGTTTCAAAGTGGTGCGAAATGGATTTCGTCTTTCCACAGTATGACCGCGCTGAGATCATCAGATCGGACGTGTTGCTGGTGAACTACACCAAGTTGGCCGAGCTCAGAGGCGGACCCTTGTCCATCGCCGGGGCCCTTGGCGCCGGCGAGGTGACCGGGTGCCGCTGGAGGAATGGATGCGCGGCGCGTTTTTTTTTTGGGGGCAGAGGAAGCTTCAAATGTCCCATTCCCTTTCCAAAAATGCGTTGTTGTTGTTTTTGGAACAATGTTTTTTTGTTTGGATTCTTTACAACCAATGCCCCATGAGCCTGGCAAGAATTTCAGGCACGGCCTTGAACCGATTGGCAGACACCCCGAAAATAGCGCTGCCAGGTGCATCCTCTTGGCCTGTGAGGTTGAATTCACCATGCTGCCATGAGCTTCTTGTAACTGCCATGAGCTTCTTGACTTGGCTGTGGTTGTCAAAACCGTTTTGGATCCCATTTTGGTTGGTAGGTGAATTCACCACCCATTTTAGAACCTATTTTAGTGCTTGGATTGAATCGGATGTAACCACTGGGGGCTAACCGATTCGGTTTTGAAAAGCCCATGGCCACTTCTTGGCCTCCGCTGCGGACATGGAGGTTGATAAAAAGCTCCATGATACACGGGAGGACACTTCCCCGTTCTGAACCCAGGGATCCGAATATTTCCAGAAAACCATCAGAACCCCAACAACTGGTTTTTTAAAAGAACGATGGTTGAAAAGAATGGGGAATGAACCCCTAGAGTGATACATGGGACGACCATTTTGGGAAACCACGGAAAAAAGATGATGTTTCAACCACGTGTGAACAGTGTTCCCAATGGTCATTTGGGGGCCGAACGGAATATTGAGCAACCCCCACATCAGTGTCTGTCTGTTTTGATGGTACCCTTTGCGCACGTCGTATGTGGGGGCTCCCCGAGATCTATCCTTGTGGAGGTCTCCTACTTGAAGTCTGAGATATCTTCGCTTTCAGACACAGCAAAGCTCATGTCATAGCCTCCCAAGCGGCTCGCCGATATACCGGCCTTGTTTTGATTCATATATGAACAAAGCACTTGTTTTTCAGATGACATTTGAGAAAGGTTGCCCTGTCTTGGTATTAACTACAGCAGATTCCCACCATTATATTAATAGCCCGCAGCCGCAAAATGCAGCAAGCACGCACCTGGGTTCCGGCTCATTTGCGTCGAACCATGGCAAAGGTGAACATAGCAATGGCTAAGCTGAAGATCTGATTTCTCAAAAAAGGGATGGCCGGTGTCAAGGGATGGCCGGTGTCCTTTTGGCTTTCCTTTAAACCCCAATTTAAAAGGGGGTCCGAAGTCCATGGTGAGAACGCCCCCCCGTCTGCCTTTGAGCGGATGTTCGTTTGCGCGCGCGCTGTAGGTGAGCAACTTGCCCTTCCACGTGGCGTCGCAAGCCCTCTTCACCTTGGCCGACCATGCGGATGGCGCAGGGCTGCCTGACCTGCGGGTGGTTTGTTTTGAGGGTGCCTGTGTGTTGTTTTGAGGTTTTGAAGCCCAGGAGGGGGGTTTAAAGGAAATTCCAAGAGGACGGCTTCGAAATCCAAACATGGAAGGGGGGTTGAAAGGAAATTCCATCAGGACGGTTTCGAAATCTACAAATGGGGTGGGGGGGGCCCAAAAGAAGGACAAAATCCACGGTCCATACCATAAGAATCTTGGGACATCACGAAGGGCCGTTAAGGGTCCACACCCACCGGAGATCCGGACTCCGAGGGGGTCCAGTGAGGGCAACAGAAGGGGCTCAATGATCGAATTGGCCGTTTGGGGTACTTTAGAGCCAACTTCAATTCGGACAGCGAGAAAGGGTGAGTAATCCCTCGGATCGGACGAAGATAATATCTTGAAAGTAAACTCTCCGGCCAAGGGGATATGGCTGTGGGTCAAAAACCAATGGTACCATCTTGGGGTAGGTGCACTACCCATTTTAGTCTACTTTAGTGAGGATTGGGATGTTGACCCATGGCCATGTTTTGTTAGGCGAAGGCCGCAGGGTTTCAATCGGTACCACTGACGCTCGGCAGTCCGCCCTGCCAAGTCTCTGCCATTTTCGGGAACTTGGGGTTGGTTTCTTTGAGGGAACCCTTTTGGCGTTGAAAAGGGACACCAAACGGAAAAAACAAACAAACATATCTTGGGGTCCCCTAAGTATTTTCAAGCACACCCATTTGGGTGCGTCTCAAAATTGACATCTTACGTGGATTCTTTTGATTCCAAAGGCTTAGAGGGGGTCTCAGCCCAATTTGAGACAGCCCTTTGCGCCTTCTGCACGTCGCTTGGTGCAGAACTACCAGACGGGCTCTTTGAAGGGAAACCAGAAGGTCGACCTTGCTCGAAGGTGTCCCTGAAATTCAGGCAGGCCGACATTGAAACAAGGGTTGGGTTCATTAAAAAAAAAAAAAACAACCACCACCGTTTACCTAAAGATTGTCATCATCTGAATTGGGTCCCAAGGCCATTCTTTTCATGGTCATGAAAAGTAAATGCGGGTTTGGGCCCAATCCACGCACTTCTGTGGTCAACCAAGTTCCCAAAAGAAGTTTGGGTCAACGACTAAAGGCCGCCAACCCGCTCGGGTGACAAAATGTTGGATGAGAGTTCTCAGCAACCTCGCTGCCTACCTGGTGAGCCAGTTGGCCCATGTGGCTGTGGGTCAAAACCCAGTACCCCCAGTGAACACCCCAATCCCCACTAAGGTGCACCTACCCCAAAATGGGATCCAAAACGGTTTGCCGCAGACAGCCTCAGCTTGTTGTGGCCTAACTCAATCCCCTCCCTCTCCTGCTGTTTCCCTCATATGTTCGCCTCATGGGCGCCCGCACCTTTAAGGTCCGCAACGCGCACGTCATTCTGCAGAAGGAGGCGGGTGCCCAAGCGAACCCAAGAGATACCGACTCCGCAAACCGAGCCACACCCTTGTTTGTTCAATGGTGAGATCAATACACACTACACATCAGAATCTTAGGGTGAGTGATCAGCACCCCTCCGAGGCTCCGAAGATTGAGTGTGTCTTTTTCTCTTCTTCTTTTGTCTTCGAGGCTCTTCTTGTTGTTTGTTTCGTGTCTTTTTGTTTGTTTCGAGGCTCGGTTTGCCCGTTTTGGGTAGCCAAAGGGAAAGCCAAAGAAGCCGAAGGGTCGGTCCAAAACTTTTCGGCCCAGGTGGCGGAGCGATTGGTGGCGAAGCCCAACAGCCCTTGACCACAGAGGTCCATGCGCGCTGCCACTACCCTCCGAAGCTCGGGGGTTTTGGGCTACCTCCAGAGTTTTGTGTTTTTTCGTTGGGTGCCCAGGGTAATTTTTTACCCTCCCACCAGCGAAAAAACGGAAGTGCACAGAGCCCTCTAGAAAGACGACTTTCCTCTTGGTTAGTTGGCCTTCTTGCACTTTCATGTTAGTTTTTGGGAGCCCTTTTTGGGTGGTTGAAGGGGAAGCCAGACTGCATCCAAACTGAAACCGAAGCCCCTTGGGGGTCCTGACTTCCGGGAGATGCCAGGCAAGGCCCTTTCGCACGCACGCCATCCATTCCGTTTTTGGAAGCTCTCTTGACCGACTAGGTACATGGATCCACTGAGACTGGGTCTCCCAAGATTTTCCCTCGAATTGTGGCTTCCGGCAGGCGTTGCGGTTGGAAAGCAAGGCCCCTCCACCTTGCAAGACACCCAACACAGGCTTTCGGTTAGGGACCCTCCTCGAGATCCTTGGCACCCCGCTGCATTTTTTCTGAGGGAGATTCGTTCACGAGCTCACCGATCCGACAACAGAACAAGCGATTCTCTGGGCAGGACCTTCGCGGAAGTCAATTTGCATGTTTTTGGGTTTGTCAGTAGTAATTTGCCCAGATCACGTGGTCACAGCCCTTTTTTCTTGTACTCATTCACCTGTAAGAAAGCAACGCGCAATGCCAGTTTGGTTGGTTGAACTCTTAGGCGGACATCGGAATTCATGTTGTATCCTTTTTCCGGGATCATTAATTGGACGGTTTTCTGGGATGTTGACCTTTTACCTACTGCTGGGGGGGGGGGGTTTGAACATGGTTCGCCTCGTTGGAACACCCATGAAACTTGGCCGCCGCGACGTCCGGGCAGTGAACGTCTCGTAAGGCAAGAAGTACGGCATCCCCAGCGTCGTCTTCCAGCTGTGCCGCGGGTTGAGTTATGTCTGGGGTTGGTACGCTGAATTGGGTGGCTCGAAAGAGGAAGCGGCAGGAAGTTGGACTCTCCATGTGTTTTTGCGACGGCCATTAGGCTGCATCTTAAAAACACAACTTTTCAACTTTTTGGGTAACATGGGCTATATGTCTGTAAAAGGTTAACTTCCCCAATCCTTGGAGTTTTAAGGGGTAAGCATTAGTTTGCATCTTCTTGCTTGCCGGTTTTTATGCATACCGGGCATCAAGGAAGGCGGCGTTGAGTGCGCTTTGATGCAAGGGCGCAGTGAGGCCACGACCGTGTCAGCTTGTAAATGCACCTGGCAGGTAGTTGAGTCTCAAGCGGTGCAAGCTGAAACTTGAGGAACATGGCGAAGACCTTGAAGCTGGCGCTGAGCGCTTTGGCCTTTGCTCAGGCCCACAAGCCTCGTGCTGATGTGGAGCAAGCCTTCGATAAGTTCCTGAAGGATTTTGACAAGAGCTACGATGACGTCGAGAAGCAGGCGACTTGACACAGTGTGGCGCAGTGTTTGTTTGTTCCCGAAAGCATGGCGAAGGGTTCTTCCGCTGGGTTCACTTGAGTTGTTCTCATGAGAGTCATTACAAGGTGTCATTGCAAGGAATCATCATCATGAAAGTCAATGCAAGGAGTCATTGCAAGGAGTCATTGCAAGGAGTCATTGCAAGGAGTCATTGCAAGGAGTCATTGCAAGGAGTCAAGGAGTCATTGCAAGGAGTCATTGCAAGGAGTCATTGCAAGGAGTCATTGCAAGGAGTCATTGCAAGGAGTCATTGCAAGGAGTCATGGCAAGGATTGCAACTTGCACTTGACTCCTTGCACTTGCAACTTGCGCTTGACTCCTTGCACTTGCAACTTGCACTTGACTCCATGCACTTGCAACTTGCACTTGACTCCATGCACTTGGCTCCTTGCACTTGGCTCCTTGCACTTGCAACTTGCACTTAACTCCGTGCACTTGCGACTTGCACTTGACTCCATGCACTTGGCTCCTTGCAACTTGCAATGGCTCTCATGACTCCTTGCAATGACTCCTTGCAATGACTCCTTGCAATGACTCCTTGCAATGACTCCTTGCAATGACTCCTTGCAATGACTCCTTGCAATGACTCCTTGCAATGACTCCTTGCAATGACTCCTTGCAATGACTCCTTGCAATGACTCCTTGAAACAAGCAAGGAGTCAAGTGCAAGTTGCAAGTGCAAGGAGTCAAGTGCAATTGACTTGCGAGGAGTTAAAATCTCTTCTTAGGGCGGCGGGGTAGTGCCGACGACACTACACGAAAATCGACCCTCTGCGGGGATCGGCGTGGTCGAGGTGCAAAAACCCATGGTTTTTTGCGATTTCTAAAGTTCCCGCGCGACCCTCTGCGGGGATCGGCGTGGTCGAGGTGCAAAAACCCATGGTTTTTTGCGATTTCTGCGGTGCTCGCGCGACCCTCTGCGGGGATCGGCGTGGTCGAGGTGCAAAAACGAGGTTTTTTGCGATGTTTAACCTGCTCGCGCGACCCTCTGCGGGGATCGGCGTGGTCGAGGTGCAAAAACCCATGGTTTTTTGCGATGTTTAACCTGCTCGCGCGACCCTCTGCGGGGATCGGCGTGGTCGAGGTGCAAAAACTCGAGGTTTTTTGCGATTTCTGCGGTGCTCGCGCAACCCTCTGCGGGAATCGGCGTGGTGGAGGTGCAAAAACTCAAGGTTTTTGCGCCTTTTCTTGTTCGAACTGGTCTTCGGGAGTTGTCTCGTGGTTCGCGCGCCTGCTCCCGGAACCGGCGGGTCGCGGGTTCGATTCCTCCCTGGTCCGCGGGCGGGCGTCGCAAGATGCAACTTGCATTTTAAAGCAACTTGCGCAGAGCAACTTGCGCAGAGCAAGTTGCACAGAGCAACTTGCGCAGACCAACTTGCACCGACCAGTTTGCGCAGAGCGCCTTGCCTAGAGCAACTTGCGCAGAGCAACTTACGCAGAGCAACTTGCACAGAGCAACTTGCACAGAGCAGCTTGCACAGAGCAACTTGCAGGGAGCGCAATTTGCACAGAGCAACTTGCAGGGAGCCACTTGCAGGGACCAACTTGCCGGAGCAACTTGCGCGGAGCAACTTGCGCAGAGCAACTTGCACAGTGCAACTTGCGTAGAGCAACTTGCGCAGACCAACTTGCACCGACCAGTTTGCGCAGAGCACCTTGCCTGGTGCTGTCTCGCGCTTGCTTCACGAATGCTTCGTGTAGGGAAAAAGAACGCATCCTGCAGCGTTGGGCCGACCTCGCTTGCGATGTTCTGCTTTCGGGCCAACCGTGGTCTAGTTTGTTTGTTTGTTTGTTTGTTTGGTGCCGCGTTGCTCCATGTTGCGTGGACTGTTTGGATTTTGTTTTCAACAATGACTCAATAGCTGGCTCTGGATGCATGCAGACCCAGCCAAGCAACTCCCCGATGCTCAGGCCCGCTTTGCTGCTTTCGCCGAGAATTACGAGTACATCCAGCGCGAGAACGCCAAGAAGCTGTCGTACAAGCTGGGTCTCAACGAGTTTTCGGACATGACCCTGGACGAGTTCAAGATGGGCATGCTGGGCATGAACATGCCGGAGTCAGTCTGGGGCAATGTGGCAAGCGGGGGAGTGCACAAAGTGAGCAACGCGAGCCTGCCAAAATCTGTCGACTGGAGAGGAAAGGCAGTGACCCCGGTGAAGAACCAGCAGCAGTGCGGATCTTGCAGCTTGTCCGATGTGTGTTTAGTTCTTCTGATGTGACCATGCTTTGTTATATCTGCCCCGGCCTTCTCTCATTTGTATTGCAATGTTTATGCCTGGGCCTCCCTCAGTTAGTGAAGCTGTCGTTGTTGTTGAAGCCGGTCCGTAAGATTGTTTTCCCGATGTTCCAATGTTCTTGAGTGACTCTTTCTGAAGTCCGTGTTGACTCATGAAGACGGTGTTGTTGTGCAATGAGAACATTGTAGTATTGGAGTGCCGGATTTGGAGTGCCGGATTCTCAGTCGCGGCTGGTCAGACGGGCCTTTACATTTGTGTGGTCTGGTGAGCACTTGGGCCATGCAGGCGTTACATCTTGTATGTGAAAAACTAAGCAGGGGGAAACAAACACGTCTGGTGGTGTCCAATTGTGCGACCTGCTTTTCTGCTTGCCTTTTTTGGGTTGGGTTTTTGTTGGGGTTCCAAGTTGGCCCAAGGCACTGGGCTTCCCTTTTTTTGAGGCCCACTGTTTTTGGGGCGACCTGGGCCTGGGCCAGGAGAAAGCCGCAGGTTTGAGTCTTCTTCTCCCTTTACCAGGGTTCCATTTTGGGCCGAGTCCTATGTTGGAGCCACACCCACCTGTTTGTATCTTTCCTGAAATTGATTGATGGACGTTTCGAGGCATGTCCAGGTCCAATTTCCATTCAAACAAGCTTGTCGGCATGCTTCCTGAGGCTGGGCTTTCAGCACCACTGGCGCGTTGGAGGGTGCCTGGGCCCTCGCGACTGGCAAGCTGGTGTCCCTGTCCGAGCAGCAGCTGGTGGATTGCTCCAAGAAGTTCGGCAACCAGGGCTGCAGCGGCGGCCTCATGGACAACGGCTTCAAGTACGAGGAGCAGGCGCCGGTGTGCACAGAGGACAGCTATCCCTACACTGCCAAGAACGGCATCTGCAAGGCTTCCGGCTGCACGGTGGGCATCCCGGCCCACGGTGTGACCAGCTACGTGGACGTGAAGGCGGACGACGAGCAGGCTCTCATGGATGCGGTGGCCAAGCAGCCGGTGTCCGTTGCCATTGAGGCGGACCAGATGGCCTTCCAGATGTACAAGAGCGGCGTGCTCACGAAGACCTGCGGCACCAAGCTGGACCACGGCGTGCTGGTGGTGGGCTACGGCACCGAGGACGGCACGGACTACTGGCTGGTGAAGAACAGCTGGGGCGCTACCTGGGGAGAGCAGGGCTTCGTGAAGCTGGAGCGTGGCAAGGCCGGCCCCGGCGAGTGCGGCATCAAGTCGCAGGCCTCTTACCCGGTGGTGTCCGGCTCCGGCCCCTCTCCTTCCCCGCCGTCCCCGCCATCCCCGCCGTCCCCGCCGTCTCCTCCGTCCCCGCCCTCCCCTCCCAGCAAGAGCCACTACGAGAAGCCGCCCTGCCAGAGCGACGAGACCCAGGCCGAGGTGGAGGGTGCTGGCGGCAGCGTCTGCGCGCCCAAGTGCAACACCGGCGCCTGCCCCAGCGACGTGCCGGCGGGAACCACCGCGCACCCCATGTGCATCCTGCAGGACAGCAGCAGCGGCGACAAGTACTGCGCACTTGCATGCATCGTGGGCGGCTGCCCCAGCGGTTCCAAGTGCGTCCACCTCTCCAGCCTTCTGGGCATTTGCGTCTACCCCGACTCCGAGCCTGCTCCTTTGAAGCTTGGGCTTGCCACAGGCACTGAGATGGTTATCTGAGCTGCTGCGTCCAAAGCGCCTAGCAGCCTTGACAGCTGAGTCTGACAGCTCGAGGGCTGGACAGACAAACGTTGTCAATACCTTCAATTGATGTGCGTTTGATGCAGTGCTGAGCTGCTTGAGCTGGCCTGCGTCTCCAGCATGATGTCACAGCTTTTGGCATAGAGAGCCAAGAAGCAAAACGGGACGAGTTGGTGTCAGCTGTTTGACGCTGTCAGCCAGGTGCAACCCGTATGATGTTCAAACACACACTCCCCTGCAGATGAACGCGGAACCCCTCCAAAACCCGGCCATTTCTGGAGGCATCTCCTGAGCGTTTCCTATTTCTGGGCTCCTTCCCCGCATTTTACAGGCGGCTTTTCGGCACGTCAACCCAGCTGGGTCCAAGGCCAGGGGTGGTTTGAACAAGTTTTGGCGTGGGGTTGCCGATGTCCCGTTTTAGGATCGTTGGGGGCCATTTAAAGGGGATTTTCTCCGTTTGGGGCGGTGATGTTAAAAGAGGAATTATATCGGGAACCCTATGTGGTTGCAACTTTGACTTTTTGGACTCCGAAATCAGGGGGAGATCCTTCTGTTTGGGGCGATTTGAAGCATGCTGCAGATTGACATAGACCCACGATCTTTTGTGGAACCCAAAAAAGGGTCCCCAAAGGGTCATTCCAAGGAATCTCTTGGCGCACCCCTCTCTGAGACTCTCGGTTCACGCCACCCGCGGGCGGTCTGGTTCCGGCGAGGTACGCGGATCCCAGGATCCTGTTCCACCTGCCGCCCAAGGCGTACTTCCCTCGCCCGAACGCCTGGGGCCCGAGAGGAGGGCCCAAGTCCAACTCGGTTTTGTTGCGGCCCACCGAGCACCAGGTTTGATCCTTGCAAGCCTGTTTCCTTACGCTCCATGCAAAGGTAGAGCCGGGCCGGGATGGACCAAAGGACTTCTCAGGTTGCTGGACGCCACATCGCCGTGAGAAAACACTGCTCTACCACATCCTGCGCAAACAGGGTGCATGGTTGGATCAACCACATTGTCAACCAGCATTTAAATCGGGTTCTCGTCCATTGCAGATGTTTGTCCATCATCAGGGAACTTGCAAAGAATATGTACGACCGTTTCCCAGCGATATCACTGTGGTAGGTTTGAGACAAATTGCCCCCCCCCCCCCCCCCACCCAAAAAAGCAAAACAAAAAAACAAAAAAGAGCAAGCATCAATAAATAAGCTCAGGTGATATCCCCAACAGCATGCGGCGCTCTTTAGACCCTCACAGAACCCTGCGAAACCTTACCTAAGAATCCTCGCGGAACCCTGCTGCACCTTACCGGACCACCCCGGAGCCCTCGCAGAACCCTGCGGAACCCTGGGGAAACCTGCAGAACCCTCGCGGAACCAGCCGCCGCGGACCTATCTGGGCTGAGACCCCAAAGCTTTCAGCTGCTGGGGAATGAAATAAAATGAAACAACTCAGGTGATATCCCCAACAGCATGCGGTGCTCCTTTTATTGCTCGCACCACCCTGCAGGCCTCGCAGAACCTCGTGGAACCCTCGTGGAACCCTGGTGGAACCCTGGTGGAACCCTGGTGGAACCCTCGTGAAACCGTACCTCAGGGCCGCCCCGGACCACCCCGGGCTGAGACCCCAAAGTTTTCAGCTGTTGGGGAATAAGCTCAGGTGATATCTCCAACAGCACCACACCCGTCTGGGTTCTGCAGATGGGGAAGGTACATGGGTACACAGGAACCACCTCTCGCAATGGTTTAGTTCACAGAACCCCCGCGGAACCCTCGCAGAGCCTTCGCCCAACGCTCGTGGAACCCTGGCGGAACCCTGCGGAAGCTTTTCCTCGGAGCCGCCCCTTTGATCACCCCGGAGCCTGGGCTGAGACCCCATGGCTCTCGCCGCTGTTGGGGAATCAAACATGGAAATCAGCAGCCAAACCAACCCAAACTTGCTGGTTCCCAGCCATCCCCTCGGGTTTTTAGGTTTTAGGCTTTCGTCGGGGATTCCATTTAACCAACTAAAAGGCAAACTTTTAGTAGGGCATCTGAGGACAGCCCAGTTTAAAACCAACCAAAAGGCAAGGACACGGGAGGGATCCCGAAAAAAGTCCCTGGTGGCTCACCTCTTCGTGGACACCCAACCAGTAAAACGCATCAAGCCCTTGGTTTGGGAAAACCCCTGTAGAACCCTAGAAGGGTCCAAATGTGTCTCAAAGTGGCGAAGCAACCAACTGGGTTGCTTTTCTTTCGGCTTCCCTTTCAAAGCCCATAGAAAGGGGGTTGTATCCCGAGCCTCCAAAAAAGAAAGCACAGACACACACACACACACAGATGCGTGCCCAGGTTTTGGGTTATGAAGCCCATAAAAACGGGTGAATCCCGAGCCTCTAAAAAAAAACTGTTGGGTTCGCAACCAGGCGAAGTGATCAAACGGCGTGTCACCCCGAGGTCCTAACCTCCTACGTGAAGCTCGACTTTGAAGCCGCTGCGGAGCGCAGAAGAGGCCCGGGGCCCGCGTCGGTGGAACCGCCGACGGCCTTGTTTTGGTTAAGAAGCCCTTCAGCCCGAGACGTTAGACGTTTGCATGGGTCGGGTGGATTCATTCTGTGTTTCTGCTCAACAGTTTGTGCAGACAACAAATTCTGTGATCCCATGGGTCCTCAATTTCAAGCCACGCCCCTGAACATTTGAATTTAGTATCATCAAACTTGGAGTTGTGGAGAAGAACCCATGCTGTTCACTCATCGTTCCTTTCAGAAGCCCGGGCCAGCCCGACCCACCTTTCAACATGGACTTCGGCTGGCGAATGGAAAGAAAATTCCCAGGACTCGATCTCAGGGAATCCTTAGGTTGCAACCGTTCAGATGGTCAATGGTGAGGAGAGGCAAGGAATTGCGGCTTGCTTTGGCTTTGTTTTCCTAAACCCACGGGCTGCCGAGCCTCAAAAGGCAGCTTTTGTGCCGGCCGCCAAAGCGCCGAAAAGAATCGCCAGCTTTGAACGTGGACCCCCGCGACCTGCGGAACCTCACCAACATGGCCTTCCGGTACAGGCGAAAGATGCAGCCCGGCCTTGACGGGAATTCTGGACGTACTGTGGACGAAATCTGTTCGCACCACGAAATGAAACCGTGCTTGAAATTTATTACGCTTGGTGGTATTTGACATCATTCCAGGGCCCAGGGTTTCTATTTGGCGTAGGATTTTGTGCATCAGTACCTGGCATTTCTTTTTCGGCCTTGACTGTGGTTGAAAAAGGAAAGATAGGCATCAACAGGCAGCGTGGCCTTGATTCTTGATGGGGACTATCCTCCAGCACGATGCGTGGGCACACATCAAACATGTCCTCGCAAATGATTGGCGGACATAATTTCACCCACACAAATGATGCCGAGGCTGCAAAACAACACGAGGTTTTGGATGACATACCTGGGAAGAGCGGATGGATCCCGTTGAAGCCGTGGTAGGAGGCAAGGGTATGTAACAAACGGATCGCCTTTACTTAGACGTTTGACGCGACTCACTTGAGTGGAGGGGAGACTGTCCAAATTAGTCAGTTTTTGCTTTTTGCGATACCGCCTCAGCTGCCTGCGCCAATCCAGCAGAAAGCGCTGGTGCTCCGTTAAAGCGCTGAAAGTGTACAGTAGGATTCGCAACTCCCAAATTAGTCCTTCCAACAATCCTTGCTTGGGGATGTTGCAAAGAGTACTTTTCCGAGACTGCCTCCACAAACCTCTAACAAGCGCGATGGCGAGCTTCGACTTTCCTTCGGGACTTGCCCAAGTAAAAGACATCGAGGGGATCGAGCGTCGACTGACTTTGGCGGTCAAAAATGGCTTTGGACGCCTCACAACCAGTGGCTTTCTGTGCGTCTCCCTCTAAAACCGTCGACCAAGGCTTTACACCTGCGATTTCGAGATTGATAACGTGTCAAGTGCTCAAGCGCCAAGCAAATCGAATGAACCTCTTCTGGGTCAGACAATTCAGTATCTTCCAACATCTCTGTCTTTGTCCTGATGGTATACATACATACATACATACATACATACATGCATACATACATACATACATACATACATACATACATGCATGCATACATACATACATACATACATACATACATACATACATACATACATACATACATACATTACATTACATTACATTACATTACATTGCATTACATTACATTACATTACATACATACATACATACATACATACATACATACATACATACATACATACATACATACATACATACATACATACATACATACATACATACATACATACATACATACATACATACATACATACATACATACATACATACATACATACATACATACATACATACATACATACATACATACATACATACATACATACATACATACATACATACATACATACATACATACATACATACATACATACATACATACATACATACATACATACATACATACATACATACATACATACATACATACATACATACATACATACATACATACATACATACATATATATATATATATATGGATAATCTACATATATATATATATTACTATATATACATATATGTATGTATATTTCTATTAGACACACACACATACACCTCAACCTCGCCCAGGCTTTTCGAGAGGGTGGTTTATGGGGACACCGGAGCCAAAAAGCGGTTCTATGCAACCAAAGCACCCGACGAAGTCTCCACGGGATGCGCTTTCATCGCATTCTGCATAGTTGGTTTCACCACCTGTCCAAGATGGTTACCAGTATTTTAAAACCTCCACCAGGGGTCATACGGCCACTATATTTGCCATATCAGGGTAGATACTCCAAAGTTACCCTCCAATTTTGTTTTCAGGATATACAGACCACTATATTCGCCACATAAAGGGTAGATGCCCCAAATTTACCCCTGGGCCGCGGTAGCTTCAGTTAGGCTTGGAACTCGCGAGTGGCTTAGGATGTCCAACTCCTTGGTCCGACTCCTGCGAGTGAGCACCGGCGCAGTTTTCTCCGAAGGGGACGGGTCCAGCCACAGGGAAAAACGTCACGATGCGGAGGGGAAGTTGGTTTTTGTTTGGCTTGTTTCTGCCGGGATTCCAGCCACATGGAGAGTTGTGATGGGATTTTACTTTGGCAAAGGGTGATTTTCCACATCCATGAGAAGCTAAGCGCGCGTTCCGGATTCTTTTGTCTGAGATCTAGGCAGGCTTCAACGAAAGGCAGTCCTTGCTGAGTTAGGAAGGAAAACACACAGGAAGTCGAGGGGTCCCTCTCTTTGTTGTGCGGCGCGACAGCTGAGTGATACAACTATGGGACCAAAAGAGGATTGTGAAGAACCGAAAAGGACCGAAAGACCAGACGGATGCATGTGAGGTGGGCCCAAAGGGGCCAGGTACCTAGGTTTCGGATCCGCATGGGGTTTGCATGGCTTGGAACGAATGCGTAAACATAACCCATGTTCCATGATACAAATCTGCTTGAGGAGGCATGTTTGTTCAGCTTCTTTTACAGCAGGCCGGGATCAATTCAAGTGTCACGGAGGTGTCACCGGTTTTTGCTGGGAATGCATCGGACACCATGGGCCAAAGACAATTTACCCGGGCACTGAGTTGATCCACATGGATTGCCGATATTGGGGACATTCGGCTATTAACTAGGTCCCTCAGTAGTGCCCTTTTACAGTTTCTTTTTTGGGGGAGGGTGTCCCTACTCAAATAGACTACAGAAAAACGGGTACCCTTATTCTAACCTCTCTACTGGAGGACCTCGTTAAGCTCATAATCCAAGCGTCAGCTTTTGACATGCCAGTTTGCGAGAACCGTAGAACCCAAAGTCAGTTTAGTTGTTGGGCGCTCAATTATGAGAACGCCAGATGCTCGTTTCCAGCTAGGGTGAACGTAGATGGTGAGTGAACAACTCCCCCATTCAAGTTGTATCATCCTTTTTAATCATGAACAGGGCATAGTTTCGATGGTGCTCAGTCAGGAATGGGAAATGGAATGACTACAAGAAAAAACATCCAATTGGTTTCCTTTAAGGGGACCCCTCAGGTTCATTCCATTTCTCCTTCCCTACCAATCGCACCAAGGAAAGGGATGTACACTCCCGACTAACATGGAAGCTCCCAGAAGGCCTCTGTAAATGGAACTAAGTTTTTTGCAAAGGGGTCCGTTCGGGAGCTTCCATGAAATCACCTGGGGGATGGTAGAAGCACTGGCGCTCGCTCGCGCTTGCTCGCGCCAGTGCCACACCACGCTGATCGACAAACTGCCGGAGGAGTACGCCAAGCTTCGCCCAGAGCAGCCGCTGCCTGAGAGGCCATCCATCGCTGGGAGCAAAAACCCCCAACGCCACCGTGGGCCCAATGAGCGGAGGTTGATTCCACTAGTTTACCACCATGGCCCAATTGGCAGGGTTGATTCCACTAGTTTATATATATATATATATGTGTTTGTGCACAAAGTATAGGACAGAATCTGAAGATAGAGTGCCCCGTTTTGCGGGCCAAGTTAAAGCCACCATTACTTTGGTGTCAAATCAGGAAGCCCTGAAACTGAAAGCGGGTGGTTTCCCTGACCCCCGGAAAAGGTATCGTTCGCCTCAAAAAGCACACCCATATTGGCATCAGGCTGGAACATCCACGAGAGACTGGCGGGCTCCACGTATTTTGGACCAAACTGACGTCAGTTGGACGCCTATGTTTGGGGGAGGCTTCCTTCTTTGCTTTTTTCCTGGGTGAATGTCAACCCCAAACCAATACACCTGGATGAACAAGTTGCATGGCTTTCAACAAGCAGGATCCCCTCTACAAGCCTCCTGTTCTTCAGCCAGGTGTCCGTGTATGTTCCTTCTGGAATGGTTCAAGCCTTACAGTTTCCCTTTCGGGCGATATTCGAAGCAGAACTACAGGGCACTCCTTTCATCTTTCGCGTACGCACTTCGTGATTGGATCTGCTTGTTCACTTTGGGCGTCGCGTTTTTCGTATTGCGGGCCATATTTTCCGGGCTCGGGCCATATCTTCTGCCAAGCTTCGGGCAGGTGATCTCATTTCGTGATTTGCCGCGCCCGAGGATTGAGCCTTGGGAGTTTGTGCACTTGACTCAGCTGATCTTCGGCAAGAAGGCGGCGAAAGGTCTGTCACGAGTTTTCACCGGGTAGAAGTTTTATTTTGAAGCCAACGGTTTAGCTGAGCTTGCACGTGAAGGCCTTTTACTCGGGGATAGTGTGATCAAAGCCAGGTGCCAGGTTCCCAACGATGAACATCTTCTCCCTCCTGGTTTGCAGATGGCACCATACTGCTTGTAATTTCCAATTTGGAAATTCTCGCTTTACCTCGGTCCCTTATTTCGTTTTCAGTTTGGGCATGACAATGTATGACAATTGGCGTCGTGGCAGATTGTGTTTGGGAATTTCACGGCTCCTATATTTCCCCTTTGGGGGTTTTAGACGTCGCCTTTTGGTAGTCAATGTAACAGGACCCTCTTTTGGTGGGGTGAGTGGAGCCCGGCGCCAGGAATTCCCCACGCACTTCAAGCGCGCCTGGCGGGGCGAGTTTGGCCGTACCGCCCGTGCCTGAGTGCCTGAGTGCCTGAGTGCCTGAGTGCCTGAGTGCCTGAGTGCCTGAGTGCCTGAGTGCCTGAGTGCCTGAGTGCCTGAGTGCCTGAGTGCCTGAGTGCCTGAGTGCCTGAGTGCCTGAGTTGAGTGCCTGAGTGCCTGAGTGCCTGAGTGCCTGAAGGGAAGCTGGGCCGGGGTAACGGGCCGGGGTAACGGGCCAACTGAAGGCCATGCGCCCAAAAGACAACATGGAGGTCAAAAAGACTGCTGGGTTGGGACACCGGGGTGTTCTATCTGGGGCCTATGCTGGTGTATCTTTTTGTGCTGTGCTCTTCAATTTGGTCACATGTTGAGGGGCTCTCAAAAGTAGCGTTAAGGGTCCATTTTGGGAAGCTCCCATATCACTTGCAGCCAGTTTCAGTGTCCCTTCAAGGCCTGATGGAATGAACTAGATGGAGCTCTTCCTTTGGAGGCTTTCTCTTGGAGCATCTCCAAAACTGCCCCCAAAAGCAGAAGGAGTGAGGGACCCCAAGGGCATGACAACTTGAGGGCTCTTCCCGCTGCAGGTCAGAGACTGACCGATTCGACGTCCTGAGCCGGGACGCGTTGCAGTGTAGCGAGAACAGACAAAGCGGCCTTGCACCTTGTTTATGACCCGCGGCTTGATCGGCAGCAGCGGTTATTTGGACGCGTGCTTTGGCATTGCAATTCCTGCATCATGCTGGGGCTCGAGTTTTCTTGAATGAGCTACAAAAGGCGCAATTCAGCAACAAGTCCCTACTCATTCTTCTACCGAGCTTCATCTTGAACATGTGCACTTATCGCTAGGATCATGGCTCTTGGCCTTGAGAAGGGCTAGACATGCGTGACGGCCGCCGCGACGGTCGAAGCCGCTCCCGGCACTTCGATGGCCGAGACGGCCGGGATGGCCGGGACGGCCGGGATGGCCGGGATGGTTGGCGGCCGGACCCGCGTCGGGACCCGCGCCGGGACCCACGGGACCTGCGGGATCCACGGGACCAGCGGGACCCACGGGACCCACGAGATCCGCGGGATCTGCGTGATCCGCGGGATCCAAGGGATCCACGGGACCAGCGGGACTTGCGGGATCCGCGTGACCGGGATGGGCGGGACCCCCGTGCGCGTGAGGTGCGGGAGGTTCGCCACCCACTGAGCCGGCCCTACGAACAGCGACAGGCATATGGCAAGGCTTACCTAGATGAGCGCCCCTATTCCGACCGCGAGCGCGAGCAGGAGCGCGAGCGTGAGCGGTATAGTGGGCACGGCCAGAGTCATGAGTGGCACCTACGGCAAAGCGAACGAGGTGCCAGAGGTGATCGCTATGATGGCTACGATGACCGTCGCATGGATCAGAACTTCGACCGTCTGCGAGAAAACTCTGGCCGCAGAGACCGACATGTCCGCGAAATCTTCGTCAAAGAGAGGAGCGAGCAACGGGCGTTGCCTTGTTCATAGCTGGGGCCTAAACGTATGACCGCATCAGAATTTCCTTTCAACCCAGCAACTCTCCCCCTGTCTCGTCAAGACTGATCCAAGCACCCAGAGAATGCAGTTGCACTAAGTATGAACCAGACTTTGAGGAAGTCAAGGCACAGGGTTCTCGATCAAAATGCCAGCAGTCCATGGTCCGTTGGGAGAGAGACGGGGGGCTTTCTAACTTTCTCGCAAATCCAGGGAAAGCACTATGTCCGGGTTACTGCACACTTTGACACTGGCTCATGCGTCATGCAATTTTCAGGTACAGGTGCCTGCAAGCTGAATATGAAGAGCCTTGCCCGCGGGTCCTCTCTGGGCGGTGGATCTCTGGAGGGGACCAAGAAACAAGTCATGCATCGGAGGGCAATGAGAATTCTGAAAGTGACTCTTGGCCACTTCGTGTACCTTGGCGCAAGTTCTCGAATGAAAGTAAGTTTCCGGGGGCACAAAAGGATGGACCCACCATTTGAGTCTACTGGCTCGAGCCATTTCTGGGGCACTGCTATGACCCATTTTGCGTCAGCCGCATAGTTTCTTTGAACAAGATGTGCACATATGTTGTTGCTTCACTGTTCAATGAGCTTCCTTGTGATGATGGCATATTGGGATTGTCTCGAAATAGAGATTGTCTGAAAACGGGCCATGCTGCCAGGGTGGTTAAGTGGTTGGACGACCCAACCGACCGCAGTCTTCCCAGGAGTGCGGATGTGAGGGAGCTTCGCGACCGTGCGGACCGGGAGCGAAGAGCGCGGAGCGGAGGCACTTTGGTTGCCGTGTTGCTAGTTGCTACAGTGGATGCCCTAGTGCTGACCCCAGATGAATCAACCCTAGTTTATTAATAATATGGGGGTGGGGGACCCGCCAAGAATGGTCTGAGTCCCCACTAAACCCAGGGACCCCCTCATATATGAATAAACTGGGGCTTATTAATTTCGGGTGGACAGTAAACCAACCATGTTTAACTACAACACAACAGTACAACATGGTAAATTGGGGAGTTTGCCGTATTCCCTTGCAAAAGAACATCGGGCATCTACTCCAGAAATACAGCAAGCGTGGGCAGAAGGGGATCCTTTGTGCCTGGGGAGAAGAACAAGTCTCAGGATCAAACGTCAAGGGCCCTTGGGCGCCGCTAGCCGCCATTTCCGGGTAGGATAGCTGAAGTTTCATTGGGGACAGTCCCTTGCCTGAGGTGTTTAGATGTTTTTTGGGTGAAAGGTGGGGGTTTCCATTTAATCCACACGCCAAACTTTTAGCAGGAGATTTGAGGACAGACCAGATTTTCATATGTCTAACCACCGGGTGTCCTAATTTTCATATGTCTAACCACCGGGTGTCCTGCAACTTCGTTACACGGAATGTGCAGACTACTTTGATACCAGGTTTTGATTTTGACTCAACTGGCTGCGTATCGAAAATCCAAATCCACGACCTCTTCCTTTAGTTCCACCTTGCAGCCGTCCCAAAACGAATTCAAAGGTTTGATACGCGGCGTGTCACAATGAGCGCAACATGCTGCCCACTTGTAAATGACAAAAGCCGCAGCCAGATGGAGTCACGCCCTGTGCAAGGCTTTTTAGGGCGGCCCTTTGTGACTTGTTGAGGTGCTGCCAGTAAGAAACAAAAAAACTTTAACTTACTGTTCATTGTGGTTAATCAACCATACACCACATATCAAAGGCCATTACACAACTTGCACAGGAACCGCCTCTGACACTTCTGACGCGTATGTTGATCGGTGGATTAAACTTGGAACCCCCCCCCATTCTTGGGGCACCCTTAGTTGTCGAGCAAGCCCATTTCTTTGGTGCATCTTGCTTGGATGTTAGGAGTTTAGCTCTTTGCCAACTAACGGGTTTTCCGTATTAAACCGCTAAAGGTGAAAGATTAGCAGGGGAGCAGAAAGCATCGGAGATTTGTCGCTTGAAGGCCGGACCGCGCCGGTGCCGGCGCCGGCACTGCGGCCGGAGCGCCGGCCAACCGAGCGGCGCACCGAGCTGCGCAGGGACGAGCCCAGGCGCTCCGTTCAGACGTTTGCTCAAGTCACAGGGTTGGGTTACAGGGAGCTCTACAGGAAAACAGCTTATTTAGGGTGTTTTGGGGCCATTTCCTTTAGATTTTCCTGCAACCAAACCCTTTGATCAAAGCATGAATTGAAAGCAGCACAAGAGCCTGTGAGCTTACGCATGCTGAGGCCGACAAACACTGCGGTCTTTAGAGTCTTTCACTTGACTGCCACAAAGAAAAGCACAGTTCTGAGGGCCACTTCGACATTTTTGTGGCTTTTCTCGTTGTTGTTTGGCTTTTTGACAAGACAACACTCGGTTTTTCCAGAGTTTATGGGTTTCCTCGAGTTTTCGTGCTGTTGTTTGGTTTTCTGACTAGACACGCGGCGACTCTCGGTGGGTTTCTTCTCGCAGACATCAAAGCGCTTCGCGCGAGGCCTGCAGACGCCCGGCTTCGCGAGCGACGCTCGGCGCCCAAGGGATGTGCCCTCCGTGTGCCCGAAATCCAAAAAAACTGCTCAGCATAGGTTCTACCCTTGTGTACTGGGTCCCCCAGTAGTGCCCTTTTACTCTTGTTTTGGGGAGGGTTCTCCTACTAAAATAGACTACAGGAAAAAGAGTATCCTCGTTCTAACCTCTCCACTGGAGGACCTAGTATGCCTTTTTTGTGGGAACCCCCCTAACAAAATGGTGTTTCCCCTTTGGCCTTCCTTCAAACCAACCCCAAAAGGGTGCCCTCAAAGAAGATGGACCCATTATGGCTCAATTATGGCTTCGTTTTGATATTTTTTGTGATGGCTAATTTGACACATACCATGCGCTGGGCCAAGATGTGAAGCTGGGCAGGGGCTCATGTTTCGGTTAGAAATTCAATCATCCTCAGTCGTGCCGTCTGTAGATCCTTGCGAGGATCAATCAGAATGTCAAGAGAAGGAGGGGGTAAAGACTGGATTTGTGGGAGTCTCGACCCATCCAAATCCAACCCTGGGTTTTACCCACCACCAAGCCTCAACTGGTGTGTGTCAAAATAGGGGAGATATCCCAAAATCGCGGTTTTTCCAGGCCCCCCCCCCCTTAAAAAAAACCAAGAAACGATGGTTCATGTTTTCCTTTTAAGGGGGACCCCCCTCAAATGGTGGTTGTTCTTTTGGCTTTGCCCTTCAAACCCACAAAAAAGGAGGTATCCTCAAAAAAACGACACCCCCAAACCGAGCGCGTTTTTCTCTCGACCGCCGCGTTTCGGTTTCGGTCGGGTGGCACTGAGGCCGGCGGGAGCGGGCACCGGCGCCGTTCCTCGCCGAGAAGTTCCGGGCCCCGCGGAAGGAGCGGAAGGCGAGGGACGGAAGGCGAGTTCTTTTTCGGGTAAAGGAAACCAGTTGGATGGGTGCAATAAGGGAATGAGACAATGGATCAGAATAGGGAAGCCCCAAAATTGACGGGTCCCCTTTTGGCATTTCCTTTAAAACTCTCCAAAACGGGTACCCTAAAAAACACACCCATGTGGGTATGGGTCAAAATTGAACCACCAGGACACCGGCTTTCGTCCATGGTTCTACTGGGCAACCCATTGTGGGGTTACCCTATGTTTGACCAATACCCAGGTGAGGATGCATGCCTTTGGTGTTTTGTTTAAAGAGCCCCAACAGCCCCGGTACCTCCTGCAACCCTGAAAGCTGCCCCACATCACCCTTTAGGCATCCCCTTTTTGGTGGTTGTAAAGGGACGCCAAAAGGAAAACCACCATTCTGGCGGTCCCTTAAAACAAGACAAGCCCATTTGTGATCACTAAATTTCCCACAAAGAGCATGCGACTCTCATTCCATACCCTTTGCAGTAGCATGTCATGCTGCCTCTCAAACGAGTTGGGCAACGAAGACGCCACAAAGAATGCCCTGAAAAGAGACATCATGTCAAGCGGGGAGAGAACAGGAATGGTTCAAGTGTTCATCATGTGTGTGTGTGTGTGTGCGGAGTGGCAGAACACCCTGCCACCAAAACCGTTTTCTGTTGCAGCAGGGGGCCAGCGGCCATCAAGCAAACGCTGGCCAACGAAGCTATGCTTGATGGTGGATGCACGGATTGATCACCCGTGTGTACCTGCAACATTTGCGTGATTCTGAAAGTCTATTTGGCCCCTTGGTTGCGGCGCTGTGTGTGCTTCATGTTGGAACTGGTAACGTTTTCGCCTCTAGAGGGAAACCGAGTGCCTTGCGAGCCGAAACTCATCATACTCGAGACTTGTCGGTTGTACTCGAGACTCATCAGTTGTACTCGAATGATTAGCATTCTCCATCTGGAGTTCAAGTGTGTACACCCCATTCGTGGGGAATCCTCAGGTGTACCCATTGTGTGACCCCGGGCCGGCTCTGTCGGAAAATTTGACCTCAACGTGCTTATCATAGAACAGCGGAATTTCACATTTAACCAGGAACGAGGTTTCACTAAAGGGAAGAAAGCCGTCAGATCATAGCGACGTCTCACCACAGTTGATAGTTGCCGATTTTCATTGCATTTCCTGACCATTGGTTGAACATGTTGCTCGTATCACTGCGGTTGACGATTGCTGACTTGTATTTGCTTTGCCTTGTGCATTTCGATCGACCATTGCAGTTGAGGGCCGCTAACTTGCATTTGCATTGATTTGAATGTTGTCGGGTCTGATTCTCTCAAGGTGGAAGTGTGCAAATTCAGAGTCAGTTGCGTCACCATGTCTCGACGTGATGATCGTGATAGATCCAGGACTCGACGCAGACGTGATCGGAGTCCGTCCCCTCAAGCTCACAAAGCACGCCGACGTGAGCACAATGACAACCAGGTCTCGGAGAACATGGATTGGAACAACTTGGTTTCATGGCAACACAACTCCGGCTACAACGCTGCTAACAACTTTCCGATGATGCCTACCAATTTTCAATCGACTCACAACCCCACACAACAATTCCAATACCCGGCGATCAACTACATGATGCCGATCCCTCCTGATCCCACGCCATCCAAGTTCATGCCACCAGTGATGCCACCACCGGTCACTACTTCCCAACCTACACCGTCACCTGGACCTCCTGCGGCTCTACCGGTTCGTCCTCAGAAAGCCTGGCTTACTCCCTCGCCTGACTGGACACCTGGAGACGGCATGTTTGATGTCAATCAACTCTACAACTTCAGCCTGCCCATGACTGTTGCCAACACTCCGCATGGCAACCTTCGCGACATGTCAGGCATGGATATTAGGGACGTACGCCTGGTTCAGGTTATCCACGGGGGCCTCACCAACTGGCTACTCAGGCCGTTTGCACACGGCCGATTCGTGACGTGGGAAGGCTTTCGCACCCGCACTGAGGCCTTACTTTGGAGTACCTGCTCCAAATTACTACGAAGATCGCAGTCACTCAACCTGCTCACCCTGGAAAAGGACCTTGCCAACACGCTGGGTCTCAACATTGATGACTTCAATCAGCGCATCAAGGTCCACGACCATTTGGCCAACCTGGTACTTCAATTTCTTCAACAACATCACACCTCTCTCGCACCTGCCGCCCAGACCGATGACATGGTCAAAAAGTTCAATGATTTGAATCGTGCACACGAACTTCTCCAAGCTCAGTATTCCGCATCACTTCGCGCATCGACCTCGCCCACGATGACAAACCAGAAGGATGATGCAGAGTTGGTTACACCGCCACCGGTCAACCACACACCATCCTCGTCACCTGCCAGCTCCCTTCCCACAGCCAGCGCGGCCGCCCTGGATGGCAAGTCGTTTGATAGCGTGGTGCAACCTCGGATCATGCAGTCTCTTCACGGAGTGTCGTCACCGCCGTCCAAACCGGCGGCGTCACAATTGCTCACCATGCACAGCACGCCGGATGAAGTTGTCAAGTACTACACATGGACCAGTGACCAACCTCGCCTTTTCCTCAAGCAAGCACCCACAACAACCACTTTGGCATCGCTGGTTAAGTGGGCCAATCACCCGTCCCGGCTCAACGGCAACAAGTCATTAGATTCTATGGCGACGCAGCTTCTTCAGGCGAGGCAACGCATGCCGAAAGGCGATGCACCCACTCTCGGGGCAATGGCGGCTTCATGGGGTCTAGAACCCGGATATCTTACCAAACTCACTGAGAAGGCATTGAGTCACCTCATCGTGACCGCTCGCCTGCTCTGTGGATGAGAAGGCATCATGATGACCTTCGTTCTCATATGAGCCCGGAGCGGCAACAATGTCACGGATGAGTCCAGGTGAAAACTCGTCCGTCAAGTGTCTGCGTTGCACCTGATTGATCTTGTACTTGCTTGTTCTTGCATTGCCTCTTGTGTGATTGTCTGTGATGCTTGTATTCATGTCGCCGCCTTGTGGTAGATTTCGTTGGTTGCATCTCACCATGTTGGATGAACTTCGCCGCTGCGGAATCTATGATGATGTTGCACAATGGCAGTCGCTGGACGACCTTCTGCACTCGTTGACCATATTCTCTACGTGCTGGCATTACTGTTTTCCTGGACTACCACCACCGTCGATTCCAATTGAGGAGTACGAATCCATCACACAATTGCCGTGGCTGGGTCTCATCCTCGAGGTCTTAGTTGTGGTCCGGATAGCCCTTCAGATTCCGAATCGCGCTATGTCCAACTCTCAGCACACCGTGGCCAACAGGTACGAGCTTCACAGATGTCGGTGCGCTGCCTATTTATTGATCAGTTTCTTACAACGTCTCATTTCACAAGATCACGGCTACTTCCCGCCGTTCTTCGAAGTCCTTCACTTCTACAAGACTTCTCTCTTGTGTGAAATCATGCACTCAACTTTCGCTGACACGCGACATCTACGCTCATTGCGGGCGCGATTTCCTGACCTCTACGACTTCATACATGATCCAGGTCATCACCAACAACCGTGCGTCTACATTCGACTTTCCCCATGGCACACACCATACTATGTTGGGGCGACTGATCAGGATGTTCTACGTCGTGAACACTCACGCAGTCGCAAATTTCTACAACTACTTCGTGGACGGCATGCCTTCTTTGAACCGGCGCTTCACTACTGGAAACGATCCAATACTTACTGGCTCTTCTGTGCTGTACCAGTGGAAATCAAACTTCCAGTTTCCTCGGTGTGGGTTCAAGAAAGCAAATGGCAATACCTGCTACGCCCGCATTTGAATGCGCCCTGGGTACACAGAATCTTGCGCAAGGTGGGCTTCCGGGAACATCTTGTAGATTTTCGACGCCACTCGTTGTCGTCTCCCACTTCCCTCGGCTTGCACAAGCGCTTTCGACGACGACTACATCCGGATCTCCAACGGCAACTACGACCTGACACCCTGGATGACATTCAAGCCCACTACTCGATTCTCTATCAGCTGGGATCGAATACAGGAGCGTCGTTCCAAGTCATGCGTGACCTACTGTCGGCCGCTTTCCCTCCCACTCAGCTGTACTACTTATTGCGGCTCGCAGTCTTTGTCAACGAGCCCTTCCGCTCCAAGGCCCAGAAGCTCCTCGCCCAGGTACTGCACAAACGACGGCTACAACCACCCACCACTTTAACACAGCTACTCTTGCCGCCGCTACATGTCCAGAATTGGAAAGCTCTACTGGGCACATGGTTACAAAGCTGGATTGCTTCTCATCGGGATCTGTTCCCTTCTCTTTTCATTCCAAAGATCCGGGTTGTGGAAACTCGCAGCGCCACATTGGGCGACAAGATATACAACTATCGCACATGGCAGCGCAAATGGACGCCTGACACATCCTTTCCGTGTCGCTGTTTGGACATCGATGATCACCATCTACACCGTGCACATGGTCACGCAGTAATGGTGGATGAGTTTTCTCGCATCAATGCGGACATTAACATTGAAATCATGGCCGCCTCAATGAAGGATCAGTTTTTCGGTGATGTCGACTTATTGCATCAACGTTTCACCACACAACTTCGCAAACTTGCTCGCCGCTGGCATGTACATGGTTCCGGTCTACTTTCAGATCTACAGCCAGTTGTGACTCAGTTAATGGATACTCATCGGATGAACCTCCAAGATCGGGCTTATTGGTCATCGACATCGTTGCAACGCACTGTGGCTTCTTTGTCTTCGTGGGTAGTTATCCCAGCGGATCATTTTCCCTCCCGCGCACATGTGATGTGCCCGTCCCTGTTTGCCATATTGATGCGGAAGACATTCTGCGCGGGGGATGTCTTCTCACTTTGCCGCGAATCCGCAGCATCCTTTCGCTCTGAAGTGGTAACCACGGTACCTTCTCTCCTACGTCAACGATATGCATGGGGACTTCGACTTCAAGCACCGTTGCCCACAGCGCGCATCCTC